GAGAGAGAGAGAGAGAGAGAGAGAGAGAGAGAGAGACTGCCAGCCTGGCTGCTGGGCAGAGTGTGCTCTGGGTTTTTTCTTTCAGGACATACGTGGGGACAAATTTTCTAGTTTTTCTGGTCAGGAGGATGGATTTGGCTCATTTATCTTATGTTTAGGCTCCCTTTCTACCTAAGTAAAGATAACTGTGAGACTATATCGTGTGCAAGCCAGTCAGTTCATCCATGGGCCAACCCATGATATTGGCAGTCTGATCTTGCCCTTTCATGACATTTATTGAGTGTTCACTGAATCACAGGGTTTCTGCCAAGTGCTTCAACAGCATTGTCTCATTTCATTCTGACAGTGTCTCACATGAGGAAGCTAAGCCTCAGAGAGATTAAATAAGCTTTTCATGGTCACATAGCAATTAAGTGTGTGAGTCAAAATTTGAATTCAGGATTGCTTGTTTCCAGTCAATGTAATCTCTTAACTTCTCTGCTATGCGTTCCTGGCTTTCTAAAGCATATGATAATTTACCCATCAGTTAATAACACCTTTCTATATGCCAGATGTAGAATTTAGAAGGGTACAATCTTTTGTGTTGGGGGCGGAAATGAATCTGGGTACTCTAGCTAAAGGAGTGGGAGTGTCTGAGCAGGATCTGAGGCATGTGGGACTTACCTTCTCACACTGAACCTTTGTCTTCATGCAGCCAATGCATTCTTCACCTCAATGTACTTGTGATCTAAGGAGAGAGAGAGAGAGAGAGAGAGAGAGAGAGAGCGAGAGAGAGAGAGAGTCAATATGATGAAATGTATTAGAGATTGTTTCATCCAAGGCCAAGCAATCTGTATACTTGTGCACCACAGGATGATCAAAATGCCTTCATGAGGAGGAGTGGACTGGGGGCTCCAGTGGGATGTCAGAGAAGCATCTGTAGAGAATTTGGAGATGGACTGAAGACCCAGAACCAACCTAGTCACTCATCTGCATTGTCAGCTTGGGTAAGTTGTACCTTTTCTCTGGAATTCAGTTTCTCAATGTGTAACATGAAAAGTTGTGCCTGAATGATCTTACAGTGGCTTCTAACATCTGGATTCCCTAGAGTCCTTGTATTCTGAGTTGAAGTCTAGAGGATATTCTTTTCAGAGGCTGGTTCTTCTCCTGGCAGCAGATTGGGCTGTGTTCTTTCATGGATCAAACTGGCTGCTTCTGAGCAGGTGTTGTTCACCTGGAGACTCAGGTTCTTAAAGTGCCTGACTCCCCATTCAGGAGACACGATGTCCAGTCTGATCTTTGGGAATATGGTTTGGCTTGTACTCTGGGTGCCCTGACTCCCTCTACTTGAGGTTCAGCTAAGCAAAATGAGAATGTATTGCAAACACATCAGTGAGAAAGCAGTCAACTACTGGTTTGTGCTCTTTTTTCATATCATCTTGTCTTTTCATTATTTGAACTACATTGGGATTGTGAATCTAATATGAAGCATGCTCCCTCTATGAAGATTGGTTTCTGGGGCCTACCACATTCTCTGTTGTCCCCTGATGTTTGTTACTTACTTTCTATCCAAACACTTACATTAGTTGGTTAATATTTAGTTTATGTGCTGCCCCAAATGAGTTATGCAATCCTGGGTAAATCACATCATTTCTATGGCCTTCATCTATAAAATGCAGATATTAGATTAAAGCAGTGGTCAATAAACCATAGTTCTTGAGCCAAATCTGGCTCATCACCTGTTTTTAAAAAATGTAGTTTTACTTAAAATTTAACCTAAAGTTTAATTAGAACATCCCATGATGAATGTAATCAGTATGTGCTGCAAACATGGAGTAATAAAACATTTTTAAAAAAGTACAGTAAGATAGAATACAAGACCAAATTAAAAAAACTAAAAAACAAAAAACAAAAAACAAAAAACTGTTTACTTACCTTCTATGGAAGTTTTCATGCAAAATGGAGTTAAGTAGCTGTGACAGACTCTACAGAACCTTCACAGGCTGAAATATTTACTATTTGGCCCTTTGCAGAATGTTTGCCAATTGTTGGACTAGAATTTTTTAAAGCTTTCTTCCAGGTTTGATTTTCCTGTGGTAAAATGAATCACATTCTTTTATTTACCCAACACATATTCAACATCTACTACTTCCTGCATATGCAAGGAACTGCAGATGTGTACAAGAATCAGTATCCTCCACTTCTGTTTGATCACAGTTATTTCAATATGACATGAAATTTCAGGTTCCCTCTGCCTGGCCTTTCCTCATTCCACAATGAATTCTAGCCCATTCTTTAATATTCCTCAGGAATGCTTTCCTGATGCTCCAAGCCAGGCATGTGCTTAGTATTCTCCATATATCAAAAGAATCATATCTAGTGTTCATCTTATTAATAACTATATTTATCTAATTTTATTGAAAATAGCCATTTAGTCTTTTGTTCTTCCTTCTTTTATTATAAATAATATGCCAGGCACTTTCGTAGGTCTGGCAATTCAGTCAGTAAATTACTGCCCAAGAGGCTTTCAAATTATAGGATAGAGAATGTTCAATTTTCTTTCTTCCAAATATGACAAACACCATCACTAAGATTTTTATCAAAGTGCCTCAAGAAGAGTTATATAACTGGAATGGATTTGTCATTTCCCACACTGTCTCTGAACCTGGATTAGTCAGCAGGTAGGCAGTGAGGTGGAGATTATCCTACCCTCAGACCTGGGCAAGTGTCAATCCTGTCCTACATTTCACACATTAGAAGGGCCTATGCTGGCCACTGTCCTCTCATGTTCCTTAGATTGAAATGTGTCTCCCTGGAACCCAAACCCCTGAAATTCTCTGCCTAAATGGCCCCTAGCCTTTCTTGTATCTGTCCTTTCAGTGTTGGACCCCATATCACTTTGTGCACCTGTACTCCAACGAATGGCCAAGGAAGGGCTATTTATGGGATCTGGTAATATGAACAGACACTGGATGGGGAGTCTAGTGCCATCATGTGTCTACCTGTAGGTCTACTTGTTTTAGAAGAAGGACTGGGAGAGAGGAGAGGAGAGGTATCATAGACCAAGGACTAGGGGCTGGAGACCTGGGCACTGGTGGACACTTTTCAATTCACACATAGCCTTTAAGATCAATATGAAAAAATTTTGGAGAAAGAGAAATCTTACGTATCTTTTACTTATCTTTCTCTAATTTTAATACTGAATACAATCATGATGTCATTATCAAAATAAATTATCATTGGTGTAATACTATAACTAAGCGATAGACTGAAAACTAGTAACTAATGCCTTCACCAGAAAGGCTCTTAGATCTGGTGACCAGCTCTTCCTAAGTCAGAACCGGTGTCAATGTCCAAGAGTTTGGGGTACAAACAGGAAGTGCCTTCTAGCATCATACCTACCATCCTGGGAAGTTAGGCTGACATCCCATTGAAGGGGTTATGTTCTGATTTTACCATGTAAGATCTACAAGTTTCTTCTATCAATGTCTTCTAGGTTTTAGGTACATTTCATGGGAAGCTCCTGACACTTAAGAATGAGAAAACTATGAATATTAGATTGTTGGATTTTAGGTTCTATCGGACAACCCAAGTGTTTGAAGAAGCCAGTGTTGTGTGCACAAGTACATAGATGCTTGTAGTCGTTTTTCTATTCCTTGTTCCCCCGATTCAGTCTTGCTCTCTACCTGCTGCAGAATGAAGACTCAGACTGGACTCAGAAGGTAATCTTGGTGAGCTCAACAATCAAGTTACTTCATCCTTTGGCATCTTGCTTGAAATCTGAGGGGAGAACAGTCTGTCAGACTTTTAAGATTTATTTCACCTCTGACTCTGCTGTTCTCTCCTCTCTGTTATCTTTAATCTGTTTGCACATGCTCATAGTCCTCTCATTTTCTGCTCTTATTTTCTCCTTTACTGAACTTTCTCTTGCAGTTTCAGTTTCTCCTGCACGTTCTCAGTGCCTCTGTCATCCAGTCCTCTTTTCCACCTCTCTTTACCCTCCCCTCCTTTTTCTGCTTTCACTCTCTTCTTTCTCCCCTCCCGTGTTTGCTCTCCTTGTCTCAATATAATCTTTGTTATATATCTGACCTTCATGGCCCACAAAATGCTTGTGGCAATTATTTCAAATGAGTGAGGAAAAAAGGAGGGAATTAAATCATAGTATTGGCAGCTGGCAATTTGCTTCAATAGCAGAAAAATGTCCCCGGCTTCCTTGAATATTGAAACATTGATGAAGAACAGATTTTCCCTGGCAGTACAAATTCCCTTCTGTCCAAGTTTGGCAGAGGGACTGGCTTGCTTGATGTTATTGTAGGCGTTTCAATGCTTTCTGTTTAGCAAAGTTGGAACACATTTCAACCAACCCCTGTATTGATGTAAAACTTTTTATTTGTAATGAGGGTGTATTAAAAGATATATACATTTCCATTGATTTCTGGCTCTTGCAAGGTCATGATCTGATGATGTCCAGGCAGTAAGTTCTGGGCTTTTCCACCCTTTCTCCATGGGGATTATGTTGGAATTTAGATGCTCTCCTTGTCTCCACCCCCTTGTTAGACTTCACTGATTTTAATAAACATTTTCCTTTCTTCAGTTTCCTCAGTGACATAGAATCACATGGATGTCAATTGGATGGGTCTTCCAGAGGTCACCTTTTTATTCCCTGAAAATGTTGACAAGGAACCTGAATTGGGCAGGGCTTTAGTGAGGTGGTCAGGATAATACAAAGAAAAGAGAAGTCAAACATAAAAGAAAAAAATGAATATAGAAGATAGTGATTTCTTTGTAATTTGCTCATGTACAGGCAGATACAGGAGTGAATAGACAATGAACTGAAGGAACAGAGTCACAGTAGTCAATTGCAAGGTCAGTGGGAGAAGTTGTGAAGGAAGGAGGAGGTGCTATGGCAGAGAGGAGCACTAGAATATTCTGGAAGGTCAGAAGCTATCACTAATGACAGAGGTCTCTTCTTTGTAAAGACTTTAATATGTTCTCTCAGGGTAGATTTATACTTTTATTGTTCAGTAATGTCCCTCCCTAAACCTCCCCACCCAAGTACAGCTGGACACAAGCCCATTGGATCAGATTCAAGGCAGTTATGGTTGCAGAATTCCAGAGTTGTCCTTTGCCAACTAGAAATTATCTAGTACAGGGGTCTTCATCTGGAGCTTCTGAGACTTCTGAGAAGGCCTTGAAATGAAAAACAAAATTGCAGATGTACCCCCTTTTCCAGAACAAGAAAAGGCATAGCTTTCTTAAAGAATATTTATAAAGGACAACACTACGATTCTCAAAAACTTCAGACTACTGGTTTAGTTCAGTTTCCACCTTAAATATCCAGGGGAATAAAGGCCCTAGCAAAGTGATGTAGCTTAACTGAGGTCATATAAGGTGTTATTGTGGTTCTTTCCATTAGCAGTTGATGCAAATGCCTGGGGACTTGTAGTGACTCAGCAGTCTAGAGTCTTCTTTTGTACATCATCATCTTTCCTACTAGGCCACTACTACCTATTTATATTTCTCTATCCATTCAGGCAGCAACAAAGGCTGTCTGTACCTGATTTTCTACCACCTACTTATGGGAACTGACAATCCTATACAGATAATTGAATAGAGTTGGTTTATACTGGTTTGCAGCTAACCTTCTCATCCACAATTTAGCAGCCCAAGTATCTTTCCTGTAGAGGCTCAATGAAAGAAAACTTTAAGACACAAGTTCAAATGGATGCTCTATGTCCATGGGTCCCTTATCTTCAGATTCATTGTGGATTAAAAATATTTGGGGAAAATAAGTATGTCTCTACTGAGCATGTGGAGAATTTTTTTTCCTGTTCTTGTTCCCTAAACAATAGAGTATGATAATTATTTGTGTAACATTTACATTAGATTTAAATTAATAGGCAACAGTCATCTAGAGATGAGTTACAGTATATAAGAGAATGTGCATAGGTTATATGAAAATATTATACTGTTTTATATCAAGCATTTGAGCATCTTTTGAGTTTTG